CTGTTCTTTCCTCGCGACACAGGAAATTCCTGGAGAGGGTTCCATCTCGTCCGCATCGAGAGCAGAATAGTCGCCTCGAACCTCTGCACTGGAATCGGTGGTGTTCGCGCTTTTTGCACCTCCAGCACGTGTTCTTCGCATCGTATCGTTCGCCTGGAGTGGATAGGCAGTGTGCTGCTTGCCTGGTTTGTCTGGCCTCCTCGCTTTTGAGCAGCTCATATTCGTCGGTGAGTTCCATTAGTTCTTCGATAGTCTGGAACTCGCTCCGTTTGATGAATAATCGGTACTCCACTCGCAAGCCTTCGTAGATGCGCTCCAAGTGATCTCCGCTGCACACCGTTGGGTGCTGTCGGATCAGCGTTTGGAGGGCTAGGATGTAATCCTTGGCCTTCTCTCGGCTCTGCTGTTTCCGCTGGCGAATAGCGTCTTCCAGCTGGCTGACGTGTCGACGGGGAAGGAAGAATCGTTCAACTTCGGTACGGAATATAGCCCAGGTGGTTATGTGTGGCCTTCGGACGCGGAACCATTGTAGTGCTCTGCCGCGGAGTATTTTGGATAGGGTTGGGAGGAGTTGGTCTGGTGGGATTTGGTAGCATTCCGCCAGCTCCTCAATCCTCTCCAAGAAGTCGTGCAGAGTGTCGCCACCGGAGTAGTGAACGTCCCAACGGCGGACTGTGCTCACTACCTCGGCGCTGCTCATATGGTCTCGTTTTTGGGCGGTTGGGTTTGCCCCCCGGCGTGCAAGAGAGATTCACCAAGCTTAATTGCCGGAGTTAGTTCGTGTGGTGATTTCAACATGCTAGCTTCATCGGCAGCGATCTCCATCTCCAGTTCTCTGAGCAGGTTTTCGGTTGATTTGCGGTTTCTCTTCGCCCTGACGAAGTTACTGAGAGTGCTGCGCAGATCAGCGACGGTGCTCCCCTCAACGGTTATGTGATGCCTCTTGCATTCTTCCACCAATCTCTCTTTCTTCAGTAGATATATCCAGCCAAGAGAGTCAGTGTTTAGTGTGGTGGTATCATTTTCACTCATCCGTGTGTCACTTACTTGCCGTGATGTGTTCGATGAACCCGCTTCTGCAGTGTTGGTGCTTGGTGAGGTTTTTGCACATACGCCTGCAGAGCTGAGTCCCTGTTCGGACGCCACTTATGAGGTGGGTTTTGTCGAAGGCTGAGATATGCTCAGCCGCTCCAGAGTCCAGCAAAGGTCCCACTAACCCCCCCCAAATAAAACACAATGATTTGTGTATTAAGTCGAACACACCCACACACACAGAAGGCCGTCAACTTGTCGTGCAGGGGAGAGCGGAAGGTAAAGAGAGAGAGAGTCGGCAGTCGGTGTCGGAGATTATTCGGCGGGTAATAGTACGGCGACGGGAGTGCTACTAGTGACAGCAAGATTAGCAGTGGTACGTGTCAGCCGTAGCGAAGAACGTGGCGATGAGAGCAGTCGCGGTGGTTGTGACGGCGACGGCGACGGCGATGGCTGCGACGGCAGCCTACAGTTCCCTTGCAGTGGCGGTGGCGTCCTTAGCGGTGACGTTGGCAGTGGCCCATATAATGATGAGGGCGGCAGCGACCTCCCGCAGTGGTGTTGTATGCGGCCCTGATTGTGGCGAGGGGTGAATGCGACCCTTTTCAACTACGACGGTGACAGCGGTACTGGGCGACGATGGCAGTGGCGATTAACTTACTCGTGACGGGTAGTAACGATCGGCCTGGGGCGACGATAATGGCGGCGGCCCCAGTAATGAGGACAGTAGCAGCGGGCCCCGATGGTGGCAACGGTGACGGCGGCCCTGGTTGGCTATAGTTAGCGTTCGCAGTCTTCGGTGATGGCGGCCCGCGATTGTAGCTTCGGCCTTGGGGCGGCAGTGGTAATAGCGGCCCCGGTGATTATAGCAGCGGTACGGGCCCTAGCGGTGATGATGATAATGTCGGCCTTAGGGCGGTAGCGGTGCTGGCGGTCCAAATTGGCGATACCTACGGACAACTGCGGACAACTGATTATTAGTGCGGTCCCCCCAGGGCATCGAGAGGTTGCCCAGTCCCCCCGTATATATTCGTGGCCGCTAGGCGCTGCAGGGAATGGAACGGACATAAAAAAATGGAAAACAATACCGCTAAGCAGCGTTCACTCAACTGGGATGATGCAGGTAATTGCTTTGAACTAATCGATAGTTATGACCAGGCATGGGCAGAGAGTTAGCAGGTGCTAAAAGAGCGTAAGCGTTGCGTGTACGTATACAAGCGAGAGCGCATCGATGAGAACACGACAGCATGCAAAATGAATTAGGTACACTAACACATGCTCACTTTTAGCTCACGCTTGTTTGTGGTAGTGCCCACCTCTGGTTATGACAAACAAAATGATGTAAAAAGAAAGTTGTTGGACTAAGGAATATCAAATAGGAAATCAAACGGTAGTTTTCAAGCTTGACACTGGCGCTGATGTGGACTGTGTTCCATTAAAACTGATAAAAAAAACTAAAAATCAGCATTGAAAATGAAGATAGTAATTTTCCTGTTTTTGACTATGGAGGGAATAAAGTAAAGATATTTGGTACTGTTAATTTGAAATGTTTTGATGTAAAAGCTAATACTGAGAGACATCCTGTTTTGTCGTTGTGAATGACAGCTGTGAGCCATTACTTGGGCTAAAGTCTTGTGTCGAGTTCGGGTCAATTAGGAGATTGGATGTGGGTACTGTTGCATGTTTGCCACAAACGCAAAGAGAATTTTTAGAGGGCAATCGCGACATTTTTGAAGGGTTAGGTAAATTTCCAGGAACCTTTACAATTAAGTTGAAAGCAGATTCCCAGCCAACGTTTCATTATAGGAAACGGATTCCTTTGAGTCTCGTTGATATATTAAAATCGGAAATCGATAAAATGGTGCTGGAAGGAATAATAAGCCCTGTAGAATATCCAACTGATTGGGTGAATCACCTGCAGATGGTGGAGAAACCCAATGGAAAGCTCCGAATATGCCTTGATCCAAAGCCATTAAACGAGTGCATTCAACGTGAACATTTTTTGATTCCAACAATTGAGGATTTTACCTCGTGCTTAGTAAATAAAAGCATATTTTCAGTTCTTGATTTAAGTAGTGGGTTTTGGCATATGGAACTGGATAGAACCAGCTCTGATCTGACAACATTTATGACCCCTTTCGGACGGTTTAAGTTTAATCGTGTCCCATTTGGCCTTAATTGTGCACCTGAAATGTTCCAAAGGAAAATGATTCAGATATTCGGCGACATTCCGGGAGTACTTGTTTATTTTGACGATATCGCTATAGTAGGTGGGAACGAAATGGAACATGACAACACTTTAGGAACAGTAATTGAGCGCGCTCGTTCACATGGAATCAAATTCAACTCTAATAAAATACAATATAGACAAACTCAAGTGAAGTTCGCGGGTCACATATTGTCGAACGGTCAAATAAAATCAGATAGAAAAATTTGGCAGCAATTTTAAAAATTAAAAAACCGGAAAACAAATCTGATGTAATGCGTCTAATGGGTCTCTTCAAATATCTTGCAAGGTATATTCCTAATCTTTCTAAGAATTCATCTGAACTACGCAATTTAACTCGGAAAGATATTGACTTTGAATGGACGGGAAAACATGAGAGGGAAATGGAAAACTTGCTGAAAATTATAACATCTGATCCCGTGTTATCAGTTTATGATCCTAAAAAGCCAGTCGTTGTACAAACCGATGCATCGAAATATGGATTGGGTTGTGTGTTAACACAAAATGGACACCCCGTAGCGCACGCCTCTCGCACTCTTGTGTTGTGTTGGCGTGTCAAATATTTCACTATTTTTTGTACGGTCGTGAATTTACAGTCGAGAGTGATCACAAGGTCACATCGTGTTCGGTCTGTGAAAAATTTACTCGTAATCAGCTAATACCCTTTTAATATAATTGCCGTGGACCTTTTCGAATGTGCTGGGCAGGATTTCCTGTCTATTATTGACGCATATTCAGGGCTCGTTATTATTAAAAAAAAAACTGACAAATAAAACATCGGGACATATTATTGAAAAACTAAAATCAAATTTCAATAAACTAGGATACCCTACAATAGTCAAATGTGATAATACTCCATTCGCGTCAGAGGAAAAACAGAAATATTATTACAATCGGAACTCAAAAGCATTGCCAGTACTGAAAAAGGGTGATGGGGTAATATTTAGAAAGGATAATAAGAAATGGATGTACGGTAAAATTTGTGAAAATATTAACAATAGATCTATCATTGAAGATAACTTTAATAATTTTTTTAGACGCAACCGAAGGTTCATTGCTAAATCTAAAAACAATGGCGCATATTCATAGTCATCGATTCGCCACTTCGCTGCTCGCTATGTTTGAGTTCCGGTCGCTTAACGAAAAATTTGCATGTGAAAGCAACAACAAAGTTAGCTAGCAAATATGGACGATAGCGAGTTTGGTTATACCTCATTAATTCGCCATCTTCTCGCCGGACTCAATGTTTCCAAGTTTTTCCGAGGATATTAGACGAGTTTTACTATTGTGAATAGTTGAAATGTGAACTGTCAAGCGGTACAAACGAAAAATTGTTATACAAATAACAATGGCAACGGAGGACAAATCGTAACTAATTGATTGTGGTATTTCTAAATATTTATTACTACAAACTAATAAAATTGTTTTGCAGAAAACGGAACGTGTGGACCGTAGTAGAAATCAAGGGATTGCTGAAATGCTACTTGGCAAGAAAGGAGGAGTTCCTACATGCGAGAAAAAAGCGAAATGCTTATGCCCACGTCTTGGAAGACATGGTGGTTTCACCGTAAGTTTGAAGTGTAATTTTGGATTGTACAAATCTAAACAAAAAAAAATTATCTAGGATCCATCGACGACCCCAGTAGCCTTAGAAGGAAAGATGCGCACTCTGTTGTCTGCATACAAGTGTGCAAAAGACAACACAAGCAGAACCGGTGCCGCACCATGCATTGCTCCGAACATGGATGAGATGGAGGAGATTTTCGGATACAGTGCGCTGCTTTCCAATAACCACACGCTTAATGTGGGTCGTTGTCGAGCACAACCAGTTGGAACGCCACCACCACCTCAACAAGCAGATTCCCCACAACCAGCACTACCCTCACGTCCGATAGCATCATTTTCACAGCCCCCACTGCCCCACCGTCCAACAGCACAGCCATCAAGATCCCTGCTGCTAGCACCACCCCCAAGTCCAGCAGCATCAGCACACCCAGCAAGATCCCTACTCCTAGTACCGTCCCAACGTCCTGCAGTTTCACATACAGCATCAGCACTATCTGCGTACCCAACAACATCCCCACTTCTACGAGCATCTCAACACCCAACAACATCCCACCTTGCAGCAGCATCCCCATACACAGAACTATGTCCGCAACCAATATCCCCACAACCGGCTGTATCGCCGTCCCCACCTACATCCCCACATCCTGAATCATCGCAACAACCACCATCCCAAGAAGCAGAATCGCCACAACCAGTAATATCAAAACGTCGCAGGAAAACAGCTCGAGAAAGATATTACGAGGAAAAACTTATATTAAAAGAAAGGAAGTTAGAGGAGAAGAAAAGATTCCACGATTCGGTAGTGAAAATGATGAGAGAAGTAGAAATGAAAAAAACTTGAACTACTTAAAAATTTAAACAAATGATTTTTTTTTTTGAGATTAATTTAATTATGCATTTTGATTTTTATTTACCTTAAGTATTTTTTCCAATGAATGTGATATTTTTCTTTTATTTAACTTAATAAAATGGATTTTTTATTAAATTTAAGACAGAAAATTTTGGGTACNATGTGATATTTTTCTTTTATTTAACTTAATAAAATGGATTTTTGATTAAATTTAAGACAGAACATGTTGGGTATTTTTTCTTAAATCAAATTATGCTCCTGCAAATATTCGAACAATAAATCTCGTCTATTCCCATTTGCATGGTAATTGTCTTCAATAGGTTCATCTTGCAAATTGTATTCCGACATTTCGTTCTGAACAAATCCAATATTTAAATCATCAAATATTATACATATATTGTGTAGAATACACGCACTAACATTTATATTGAGAACAAAACATAAATTTGTTTGCTCAGTAAAATGTAGTAACCTTCTAAAGCGAGTTTTTAATAAGCCGAAAGCGTTTTCCACAACTATTCGAGTAGAAGAGTGTAATTTGTTGAAGTTTCTTTTCACCCCAAATGAATGAGTCATTCGGAAATAAACTTTCAGGTTCAGACTGCGCTGTAGCAAAAAGATTTGACCTACGAAGAACTCTACTGTCATGAAGTGAACCAGGCTCNAATATGAGTACAGTCTATGGCACCGATTACTCCCGGCAAACCACTCTTTGACTCAAATTTTCTTTTTGCATCCTCTGCTGCAGTACCTTGCGGCCACTTTATATATTCGTGGCCAATTGTTATAAGCCAACCTGACACACTTTTAACAACAGCCCAAGCGGTTGACGAAGACACTCCAAACAAATTTGCAAGCTGTCGAAATGTGACGGTATTGCTTATATACCATATATAAATAAACAACTTTTCCTTTGGTGGAACACTTTCTCTTCCACCATAGTTCATTCTAGGCTCGGCACTGCTTGCATATTTCTCTAAAAAAAAAAACCGTAATAGTTATTTCATGAACAACAAAACTTAAATATGTCCACAATGTACCGATTAAAAACTCTACAGTTGAACGCCGTAGTCTCATGTGGGCTTCGAATTCATTTTCGTTGTAACCTTCAATGACTTCACAAAAGTTCTCACATTTGCTCCTTTCTTCCCGTTCCGATTCATCAGAGCTTGAGGAAGATTCCGAGCTGGAGCTCGAAGGCAAGCTGTTTAACATCGCCATTTTGTAGGAATTGGAAAATCTGAAATGTTATTTTTGACTAAATACATGAGAATTACAAAAAAGAGCACGTTCTTACCAAATCTAGTCGCTCGTTGTCCATTTTTGCGTTTTTATTATAAATTCTTCTAAATTTTCTGTAAATAATTGCAAAATATTCTCCTTGTATCTATCCACATAAAATATTATTTTGTTTACTTTATGAACTGTCAAATAATTCAGTGCTTCCAAGCAATTCATTAAGTGCTTCCCAACATATGCCATTTGTGACAGCTCTTTTTCAGTACTTCCAATCTAATATATTTATGCCAGTTGCACGTTCGTTTCGCCACTCGCTAACTGTTGGCGAATCGATGACGGCTTATCCTAAGTTACAACTAAAGCTATTCATAGTCGCCTTAGTTTCGCCTTTTCTGACTAAGTACCAACTTAAAATTTAGTTTCGGCTGCAGCTGTACTTAAGTCGTAACTAGGAAGAAGTATTTTATTAAATTAAGGAAAAAAAAGACGAAATATGTAAAAATTAAGTTGGCAGAGCGTGATTTTGATAACATTGAATGATCTCCAATTGAAATTTACAAAGAGCGATCCATTTGAATCGGAAGATGAAATTAAATGCGTATTACAATTCGAGTAAGGCTGCATCACAATTTTATAATTGGAATGATTTACATATATAAATGCTCAAATAATAAGTCAACATCAAGCTTAAGCAAATTAGTGCATCATGGTGAAATGAACTGAAGGTGGCGCATTCCCGAAACCGCTACTTTGGTTTTGACGACTTTGACATTTATGGCAATACGTAAACAAACTTTTTGTTTAGAAACAAGTGCAAACGTATTGCAAACGTATTGTGTACTTTCAAGTGAAAAATCGAAGTAATTCGTGCGTTCTGAAGTAAAAAACGTTTTATTTGTTATGAAATCTTTATAAAAATGTTGTGTAGTGTGTTGAATTGCAGCAGCCGTAGGGGTAACGCCCCCAAATGCAGCTTTTTTGTTTCCCCGCGACGACGCCTTGGCCAGAAAGTGGATAGAGTTCTGCCGGCAGGAGAAGCCATACAATTTAGACACCAGCGTAATATGCATGAAGCACTTTACGGACCACTTTTAAACACGACATGTTAAGTTGAAAACGTTGAAATACCACAAATTACAAATTAAAATCGGAGGTAAGCAAGCATCGACCACTTTCTGCAGGAAAACATGCGCTGCGACAAGATATTATCACTTTTTCGGCACCTGCAATACAAACACAAAAATTCTAAATAGTTAATTAATAAGACCTATTCTTTGGAACACATTTCAGAGTGGTTGTATATTTTTTGTTAACGTAGCGCTTAATTTGCTACATTCAAATATGGCTTGAGAAATTGGTGAATCGAGAAGAAAACACGCTTTCTCACTGCAAATTCACAACTGTCAACTCATTGTTCTTCGCCATATTCTTTGTTTACCCGTTGCCACAAATGTCATTCTGCGGGAATGCGCCATCTTGTATTCTATCGTTCTTGTTAGTGCATAACATTTAGATATGTGTTTGTATGTTTTACAGCATGCTTACGATAAACATCGACTTCACATCATTGGGGTAGTTCTGGCTATTTCACACAATTAACAAGAAACTTATACCTTATTCTGTTGCATAAACATGCAATGAAAGTAAAAATTACATAAACGGATGATCAAACTTGTCATTATTTAATAAAAATGTCAGTTTTGCAAAATATCGTAAAGAAAAATCGATACATTTTCACACCCGTTTTGCAATATCGTAAAACTAAGTTAAAACTACTTAGTAGAAGTCTGAAATGCGACTATGAATAGAAGTGAATTTTAAGTTGGTACTTAAATTTAAGTTGCAACTTTATTAGTTTCGACTTAGTGACTGGACTATGAATACGCGCCAATGATATTAATACCAGTGACATGTTGTTTGAAGAAAATGTAATAATGTCAAAGAGTCCTAAAGAAAAAAAAAATATTCCGCCTTCTGTGCGTGGCAACAGTGGTACTGAAGACCCTAGTTGTGAGGTGGATGAGCCTATCCTACCAGTCTTGGACAATAGTATGTCATCAGCTGATGATTACGACACCGCTGGTAGCGAAGGATCTGAAGCAGAGACGGTAAGCGATAATCCACCCAGGTCGCTAACCGTAGGTGAAGTGGTCGGGTGATTCGGCCACCGCAAAGGTACGGCTGGGATGATTATTTTAGTGACTTTGTCACCTTACCTTTTGTTTACAAAAGCCGACCTACCTAATGTCCCAAATAAATGCACTCACCGTGCGCAACAACAATGCGTCGGCCAATATAGGTAAACAAATATACGCACAAAAGGGAGATGACAAAAAAGCCAAGCAACCGGCTGGCTCAGTGGAGACGGCGGGGTTGCTGGCAGGGGGAACAACAAGACAGTATACAGACTAATCAAACTAAATAAAATGCACTAGTTATCACACACAATAAATATGAAGCTACCAACACTAGGGTGGGTCGAAAACAAGACAACAAGATTTACGACCAAGGAATCGAAACAAAACAAAACCTTGTTTTTGGGGCGCACCCGAGGTGAGGTGCAACCTAAAGGTTACGAACCCACTCGCACTACCGCCCGTGCTGCCGGGGATATCTTTAACCCGCCTGTATGACTGGGCTCAGGGTGCAGGATGCTAAACAGGATCGGAAAGGGAAACACAATAAGAGGAAGCCTGCCGACAACAATAACGCCTGAACACAGACACAACAAAAGAAGACGATACTTATCGGCGGTCGGTGGGCGTTCCGACCGCAAGGGTGCTCCTCGGGAATTTGGCTCCCAAATCCAGTGCCGACTTCCCACGCCTCGACTGGCGCTGCTCCTCGAAATTAATTGCTACTGCTACTGCAACCTAAGTGCCTCGCCTGGCACTTCCCGAATTTTTATTAAATATAAAGCACTTCTCACTACACAAATTTATCTAATTTTACTGGGCTACTATATATAAAAGCACTCGCGCTCGCAATAAGGATGTTGCCTTTCTCAAAGCTCGCTTAGAACTGCCCCGGCACGCAGTCGCGAGCCAGGCCGCAACCTACGCACCGGTACGCAAACCGTTGGAGTGTCAGCGCCGGTGTTGTTGGTGCCCGATCAATTGGCGCCGGCCCGATCATTCTAGAAGCGAATTGGGCGCTTTAGCGGTCGCCACCACGGCGCACACAAACAACACCATGGACTTGCCATTGCCATCATACAGCGGACAACAAAAGTGCCGCAATAGGTGAGAGCAAAGGCGACACCCCTACTACGGTCTTTCGCGTCATCTCTCATTCCTACATTCTTACCCTCGATCGGCACCGTTTTGGGGCGGAGTGCCCTAATGGAGACTTTTCCCCTTTGCGGTGGCGCTCCACCGACAAACAACTATTTCGCTCAACTTGAGCTCATTCTGCTATTTATTTAGGTATGTACATACATATGTACACTTGAGTGTCGGCAGACTTCACTCCTATCGGCTGGAGTGAAAGGAAATAGGTAAATAGAACAAAGGGGAAACAAATGTTTATTTTGTTGCGGCCAGTACGCGACAACCCCACCCCTTCCTCCTTAAAAAGAAAGCTTGCCTTCTTTTGTGAAATACCTATCTCCTAACTGTCCCTATATGGTCTTAACTCCTTCACGTTCCATGTCCCTTTATCTTTGCCTGACTCGTCTACCAGGACATAAGTCCATGGCGACACCTTCTTCTTCACTATAAAAGGTCCTATATATTTCGGCGCTAACTTCGCCGCGTAGTAATTTGCTGCATCAGATAATACAAAATTTTTCCTCCAAACTAACTCTCCTGGCATATATTGCACATCTCTTCTCCTAAGGTTATAATTTCTTGCTAACTTGGCACTGGCCTCCTCTAATCTCACTCTAACGCTAGACCTAATCTCTTCGAGTCTCTTTGCTCTTTCTTCACAATTAATTCTCTCCTGCTCTCCTAATGACTCGATATATCTCCTACTGCCTTCCAACGCCATTTCCCTACCAAAATTTACAAAGTATGGCGTGGCTCCTAACACTTCATGCTGCGCTGTTCTAATACAGCACGCTACCTTTGCTAATTGCTGGTCCCAACTCCTTTGGTTATCCGCTACGTAAGCCCTAAGCGTTGTCTTAATTATCTGGTTTATCCTTTCGGCCGGATTAGCCTGCGGGTGATAGTGGGCGGTGTACCGGATTTGGGCACCATACGCACCGCAGAGCCCCCGCAGTTCGCGACTCCTGAACTGGGGTCCATTGTCGCAGACCACCGACCGAGGGACACCAAACAAAAGAAACACCTGATCCTCTAAGATTTTACAGACGCCCTTCGCCGTGGCAGTCCGTAAGGGAAACAACAGCGGAAACTTCGAAAAGTAATCCACGACCGTTAAAATATACTGGTAGCCCTGTGTCGACTTCACCATGGGCCCTACCAGATCAACACATATCATTTCCCAAGGCTCGATTGCCTTGGACCTCTCAACAAACCCCCCAGCTGGCTGTGTGTTATCAGGCTTCACCTGTTGACAAATCTTACATTTTCGAACATATTTCGCGATATCCGCCTTCATCTGCGGCCAATAAAAATTTTGTGCAACCCTAGCGAAAGTTTTCCGGATGCCCATGTGACCGGCCAACTGGTCATCATGACTTTTACTGAGAATCTCAGCCCTCTCCTCTCGACCAACAACCTTTTTCCAATCCAAAGAATCACCGTAAATAGAGGGGAATTTGGACTTAACGAATTTGTAGAGGCAGCCGCCTTCTACTCTCCACGCTGGGTACGATAAGGGTCTCTTTTCTACAGACCGAATCATCTTCGACAACCAGGGGTCACTAGTGGAAACTTCAGCAACAGGCACACTACGGGACAACATATCTGGAACCACATGTTCCTTTCCCTTCCGGTGGACAATCTCAAAGTCATACTGCTGGAGCTTCAGCGCCCAACGCGCTAACCTACCACAAGGATCCTTCAAGTTGTTCA